AGTGATAAACCAGAATTCCCACCTAGTCATGGCTCCAAGTCTATGTTCATTTTACCAGCGCATTGCCCTCAAGGACTCTGAGGTTAGAATGAGACTGCCCTAAGTCCAAATCTGCCATTCTTTCATCTCTCCATTATTGGAACCATATTCCATCTCAAGACATAGCCTAAGGCCCTGAAAAGCCCTCCCTTTATGGCTCAGATCTTTCTTTCCTTCTTTCTTTTCTTTCTACAAATACCTTTTAAATACCATATGTGTCCTAAAACTGATCATCACTATGTTCTCTAACTGTATCCATTCTAGGATACAACAGCCAAATTCCTGCTCCCATGCAGTTTTCCATCTAGGGAGGGAAAGAGACATAAGTAAATGAGTAAATGATGTACTTTAAGTCCATGATAAATTCTTTGTGAAATAATAAAGGAGGGTGAGGGGTAGGGAGTGACAGGGATGAAGAGGTTCATTTAGATAAGGATTCAGGGAATGCCTGTGCATATTTGGCTGGAGACTTGAAGGCTCTGAAGCTCTGAACCATTTGAAGACCTGAGGAAAGCATATTCTGAGCTGGGGAAACAGCAAGTTTAAGGGCCTGGAGGCTGTAACAAATTAGGAGTGATAGAGAGAAGTTGAGAGAAGTGTGGCTGTCCTGGGAGTGAGGTGGGAGAAACGGGAAGAAGGTACCATAATGAGGTAAGAAGCGAACAGAGGTTTGTAAGGCAGGGCAGTGAAGTGATCTGTTGGTCATTTTTAGACCTCTCCCTTGTGGAGAATGTAGCCACCCAGGTGAGAATCAGTGGTGGCCTGTGGTAGTGATGGAGACTGAGAAGTGCCCAGAAGGGAGATGTGTTTTGAAGGGAGAGCTGACAGAATTAGCAGATAGATGTAAGACATGAGGAAAAAGGGAAGATGGCTCCTGGGTTTTTGGCCTAAGAAGTACTCTGGCCAGTCCTATTTGACTTATAGAAACAAAGAAATTTGATGGTGAAAGTGTATGTGCCATATTATTGTTAAATTCATTGTATGATAATAATTATACTTTTTTTAAAAAATCTTGGAAATCAGAGGACTAAGGCTCAATAATGGCTTAATCAGTTCTTCATATCTTTAAAATGGTGTTGACAATATTTTTTCTGCCTCAAGATTTTGAGAAAAAAAAATGAGGTAATGTTTGTGAAAATATTACTCATGGTTAAGTCATCTAATAACTCACTTTTGTATCTGTGTGGCACTTTCAAGGTAAAATGCACTTTCTCCTGTTTGAAGTAGCTGAATTTATTAATAGTAAACACTATGCTAAACATCTGGTGGACTGAAACCCCTGTGACACCATATGCCAAATTATGTTAAACTACTCATTAGCACTACCAAAGGAGAAGTCTGTCCTTTGCCTCTCTTGTTCTCTTTCTCTCATTTTGTCTCTCTCATTTTCCCTCTTTCACTCTGGAAAGTTCACGCAAACAAGAGCAGGCCAACCCTTTGAGAAGCACAACGGATAATACTGTTTCTTGGGTTGTTCCTTCACATACTCAACACACTGAAGCCTCTGTAGACCATCCCCCAGTGCCACCCATAAGGTACGAGTACTTCAGGACTCTGTCTGAAATTCCTGGTCTTCCCTGTTTTGGCAGAACACAAATTGTTTATCATCAGAGCATAGTAATGTTCAGCTTGTTAAATAGACCAATTTTAAGGTATATTAGTCACTGCTGCTGCTTTATTTATTTGTCATTCTTTATTCTTATGCTCTGTTGGGACTCTTTTTTTTTTTTTTTTTAACCAGGGAATACTTAGAAAATCAGATAAAAATATTTAACTGATATTTACCTTTCAGATTTTTACATCTTTAAGGAAGGTACATTTCAGAAGTGATACGCGTTTGTTTGTTACAGATCCTTGGCAGTATACAATTTTGATGAATTAAAAGTTTTGCCTTGTTACATATAGATAATAGAATAAGATGAATGACAATAATAAATATCAAGGCATGAATATTCACAGCCTCTTTCCTCTCTCCTGTCAAGGGATATTTTGCTTTTGTGCACCTCATCTTTTCCCCTACCCTCAATTTTGGGCTTTATTAGGTGGATCAGAATGAAGAGTGTATAAGTATGTGTTTGTATGTGTGTTGAAGGGTAAGTGGAGCACGCTAGGCAGAGCTGGAGGGAAATGCCAAAGAAAGGAAAGATTGGTAAAATGTACATTGGGAAAAAAAGCAAGTGACTGATGGAAAGAAAATAGATTGAATCCCAGGGAAGAAAGGCAAAAAGCATTGAAATGTTCAAGTTTCTCAAACAAGATTACTAGAGACTCTAAGGAACAGCTCCTATCTTGGGGGAAGATATTGAAATGACAGAGGAAAAACTACTTTGTAACTTTTGATCTTATATTAAGAATGTATCTGCCCAACATACCCACTACATACAGCTAGAGCTTTCTCAAGTGAAAATTTTAATTAATTTTTATATTTGGGGGGATTGTTTTTTCTGAATTTTACATAATGCTGAGACTAGGCCACAAGGTCTTCACTTAATTCAGAATACCAAAATACTGAGGACCACCAGGTGACGTTTTCTATTCAGCCATTTTCTATGGACATAGGTTAGTGATTCCTGAGTTTAAGATTATTAAGAAGGTTTTTTTTAACCACATAGGGAAAATGGTAAGGGAGGATGTGTTTTTTTAAAAGGATACATATTTGTGGTTTTCATAATTTTGTGGAACTTAGAAAAAACACTACTACCAAGCATTTAACATTGAAGATCTCTACTGAGATCTTCCTGAAATCAGAAACTTTTTTTGCCAGTCCCTCGGATTGGTTCTTAGATCTCTGTTATTACACTTAATTTATTCTGTCTGGCTTGTTTTTTCAGAGAACCTTTTTTTTTTTTTTTTTTTTAAAGTTGTTATTTATTTATTTGGGGGGGTGGGTAGGGAGGAGCAGAGGGAGTGAGAGAGAATCTCAAGCAGACCTTACTGAGCACAGAGCCTGACGTGGGGCTTGATCTCAAGATACTGGGATTATGACCTGAGCAGAGGCAAATGCTTAACCCACTGAACCAGGTGCCCCTCAAAGAACCTTCTTAATATAAAAGTATTATATGTTGGCCTGCATTTATTTTTCCCCCAGCTTTATTGAGATGTAACTGACAAATAAGATTGTGATATGTATTATATATATAATGATATATTAAAGTGCATAATGTGATTTGATATACATTGTAAAAGAATTCCCACAACTGAGTTAACACATCCTCCTTTTTTTTAAATGAGAGTGCTTAAGATTTATACTCTTAGCAAATTTAAGTATGCAGTACAGTTTTATTAACTATAGTCCCCATGCTGTACATTAGATCCTCAGAATTTATTCATTTTATAATTGAAAGTTTGTGCCCCATTACAAACATCTCCCCATTCCCCCTTCCCCCATCCCCAACTTCTGTCAACCACTAATCTATTTTCTGTTTCTGTGAGTTTGGTTTTTTAAGATTCCCCATAAAAGTGAAATCACAAAATAGTTGTTTTCTGTATCTGTCTTATTTCACTTAACTAATGTCCTCAAGTTTCATCCATGTTGTCACAAATATCAGAATTTCCCTTTTTTGTGGCTGACTAGGATTCCATCGTGCATACATACCACATTTTCTTTATCCATACATCTGTTAATCCATTGATAGAAGCTTAGGTTGTTTCCCCATTTTGACTATTGTGAATAATGTTGCAATTAACATGGAAGTGCAGATGTGTCTTCAAGGTAGTGATTTCATTTCCTTTGGCCATATACCCAGTAGTAGGATTGCTGGATCATATGGTAGTTTTATTTTTAATTAAGCCTTTTTTCCTTTTTTTCTAAAGATTTTATTTTATTATTTTTTAAAATAATCTCTATACCCACAGTGTGGCTCAAACTTACAACCCAGAAATCAAGAGTCGTATGCTCCACCAACTGAGCCAGCCAGGTGCCCCTAGCCTGGATTTATTCTTAATTATGTATAGTAAGCTCATAGAAGACGGACACCATACCTTATTTACAGAACACTATGACAATTAACAGTACTGGCCTTGAAGTTAGACAGATGAGTTTGAATCTTGGCTCTGCCACTCCGCAGTGAAAAAACAGAGTAGTTTTTGTGTGGTTGTTATTGTTACCTTGTTTAATCTCAGTACTCTCCTCTGTAAAATTGACATAATAATGATAATTTCTCTCAGGGCAGTTGTCAACATTAAATGAGATGTATCAAAGTGATCACACAACACCTGGAACAGACAAGCATTCAACCGATGATAACTGTTATCATGTGTATATCTCTTTTTATTTGAATCCCTACCATGCAGCACTCAGATCTTTGCTTTAAAGATCATGGCTAGGGTGAGAGAAGGAAACGATAAGAGGAATTCAGGGGCTAGCACCCTTGAACATTTCTTTTCCTCTGTGACCTTAAGATTTAGAGCCAGAGGAGCTGCTGTTGGGGCTTGAGGCCTGCTTCTTCTAGCCCAAATGAGCTTTATTAGAGGTTGGGCAGGAAGAAAGTGTCATTTGTTAGTACCAGGACCTCCCTGGGATTTCTGAGCCTCTCAGGGGAATTTCAGTTCAAACCCCAATTCCTTTTCTCCTCCCCTATAATGGTTCTTCAGGGTCTTCTAGTGGCGGGAACTTCCAGTGACTAACCGCCACCTTAATGGGTCCCTAGGAGCTGGGGACCATCTTAAAAACTACCTCCTGCATGAAACACTTCCTGTTTTCCCAGGTCAGAAAGAGTCACTCATGTTATAGCACATACTTATCGCCCTATTCTAGCTATTAGCTTTATGTTGTTTCCTCCTGTGAATTGCAAAGTCTCTTGAGTTTAAAGTCTGGCTCTGGTTCCTTTTTGATCAGCGCTGTGAGCTGTACATATATTGCCAAGTACTGACTATTCTATTGAATTCTATGTAAGCCCATCTTGGGCCTATAACCTCAAGCTGAGTAAAACCCAGACCTCACCCTAAACTCTAAAGTGCTAGCTAGCCTGACCCCCAGAACTTTAAGAGATAAACATCTTCCTATGTTTCTGGGCAATTAATAGCCTGAAGTTCCTTGTTTGACTCACTGTCAGAAGTTCCCACCAATATATTTCTAAGAGTTTGCAGGAATCCAGAAAAAGTCTTCATTTAAGTCATAGGGATTTACAAGATGTTAACATCAAACTTTTTCCTCTCCATAATTTAAAGTTCTATTTTTTACTAACTATTCCACAGGAGTGTGATGGAAATTCAATACTGTAACAGCTGGAAACCATCTGAAAGAATTCTGACTCTATTAGCAGTTTACTTAAACTTTGTTCTAGTCATCATATAAAAACAATAAAGCAATAATTTATTTGGTCCCAAACACGATTATTCTGATTCATACATAAATCCAACATATACAAAATTGTAAAATTTTCATTCTCAACTATCATTACCACATAGTTAACTAAAGTGCCTGGCCAAAAATAATATTGTCTAGATATTATTCTATGTTTTAGCTGAATTTAGGTGAAATAACATCTTAGGACAAGTTTGCTAACTCAGCAACTTGCTTTTCTCATTTGGCATCGAAAAAAAGTTACCCTTTCAACTTCACCAGTATGTCACTGCTTGGATCTCAGTTCTACCTAAAGAATGCTAAAGTGTCTCCTCTTGATTTCATGTGGCTTTTCACAAATTCAGTCAGTTTCCTGAACCCGTCCATCAGTCCATCCCCAGTGATGGCACAGCAGGGCTGAACATTCCAGTTCTGGTCACTGCAGAGCTGCTTCATTCTGAACATTCTGGTGATGTCCTGCCATCTGGTGATGGCAGTCAGAGCTCCAGGCACATCCTGTTTGTTGGCTAACAGGACAACAGGCACATTTTTAATGAGTTCATTCTTCAAAATGGGCTTCAGCTCTCTCCTGGAGTCTTCCAGTTGCTGCTTGTCCGTACTATCCACAACATACATCAGCCCATCGGTGTTCTCACTGTAATATTCCCACACAGTTCTCATTTTCTCCTGTCCTCCAACATCCCAGACTGTGAGTGAAAAACTCTTTTCCAACTCGATCATCTCCACGTTGAAACCTATTGTTGGGACGGTCGTAATATCCTTAGCAAACTTTAATTTGTAAAGGAGCGTAGACTTCCCAGCTGAGTCAAGTCCCAGAAGAAGAATCCGGGCTTGCTTGGTTTTGGGGTTTTTAGAACTCAGTAGACCCATTTTAGGGTGTTTTTTTTTTTTTTCCCTCCTTTCAAAGACCTTTTCTTTTGGCCAGGGAGAATGTTTGCTCTCCAGGTCTTGTCTGAAAATAATAAGAGGAAAGAAGATAGCAGACGCTTCATGTTCTGTTTTAAAACTGGGAATCTGTGTGCCTTTATGTTGCAGCTTATTGACCTCATTATAGGCAAACAATGTTTTATTTGCAGTCCCAGCCAATCCTAAGGAATCTGGTATGAGTCAGCAGCCAGTGTTACAGTCGCTCGAAGGGGAAATTCTTTGTGAGTGAGTAGGACGTAGGAGGGCCTGGGTGGGTGATGCCACAGCTTGCTCTCTTCCAGATACTGGAAATTTAGAGGTAACCAAAGGTTTACAGGAACATGGTTTGGTAGTAGAATAAAAACTTAACGTTACAAGTGGTTTATAGAACTTCTCTAATTATTATACTGAACATTTATCTTATTCCATTTGTAAATGAGTAACCAGAGTTCTGAAGTCATGAAGGGAGAGTTTATCTCAGCGCCTGAAGTACCTTTAGTTCTCTTCTCCGGTCCAGATTATTCAGTAGGACACTTTAACCCACCCAAGGATAGGTGAACCTTACTCCCATAATATACAGAAACACTTCTCTATTCTTCTAGAAAATTACAACTATTCACAAGACCAAATATACAGGGATAGAAGGGGAGTTTGTAACACAAACACTTTTGAAATTAAGCAGTCTGATTAAAGGTGGTAAATTGAGTACATTTATTTATCTTCTTTCCTCAAGACTCCACCAAAATGATGGTAAAGGAATAAAAAGAACATATAAACCCATAACAAGAGCAGGAGAATCCATCAAAGGGTGAGAGATTTCAACAAAATTCTGCAAGATGGAATATAGATGGAAGATGAGTAGTGTTAACAAAATTCAGCTGAGTAAATTTGAAGATCTGATTGGCTTTATTAAGTGATTCATGAATTGGGCAGCCTCCCATCTACCAAATAAGGGGAGTTTCAAGGAGTTTTACAAAATGGAAGCTTTCTATGGAAAGGAGGATGGGATAGGGATGGGCAAAATGGGTATAGGGAATGGGAGATAGAGGCTTCCTATTACGGAATGAATAAGTTACAGGAATAAAAGGCACAGCATAGAGAATATAGTCAATGATATCACAATAGCGTTGTATGAGGATAGATGGTAGCCACACTTGTGAGCATATTATAATGGATAGAACTGTTGATTCACTATGCTGTACACCTGAAACTCATGTAACATTGCGTATTAACTCTACTTCAATTAAAAAAAAAATGAAAAGAAAGGAGAATGGGGCAAGAAAGTTATTAGCAAAAGAGAACAAAGGATCCGTTTCAGGCTAAGTTGCCCTCCCTTAAGAAGGGAAGGGGACATTTTTAAGTGGATTATTTAATTTTCCTTTGGGGAATGGAGAGGGCCTGTGTGACAAATTACATCATTGGTGCTGTTCAGAAAATTTCTGATTGACAGGTTAAGATCTATTTCTGGGGGAGGTTGAATCTGCAGTTAGGTTAGGTATTAAGCCCCAGTTTGGTGACTCAGCCTGGCCCAAGTGATGCCTATTTGGGGCCTGTGGTTTTCATTTTACAGTGGTAACTAATGCAACAGGATAAAACTGAACCTTGGAATGTTGATACACAGGATACAGATGGAAGGATGGAAATGAGGGACTAAAAACAGCAGGGTTTAAACATCTGAATAAAGAACCCCCCAACAAACAAATAAATAAATAAATACATAAAACCACATGTACACACACCTCTGCTGACTGACCATTCAGCAACAAGATATTATTCCAGGCCAAAAAAAAAAAAAAAAAATTTAAAGAGCGATATCAGAAAAAAGACCTCCAGGTTTTGAGACATCATAATGTCTAACTTAGTATTTAATTAATTATAGCCAACCTCACAGTTGGCAAACATTGCTCATGTATACAGAATGCCCAATCAGCTTTTCAGTGCACAGAGGTTCCCATACTTAATACATAGGATGCCTTCAATATAATGAGAGAAAGACCAAAAAATTTTTAAAAGGCTTTATAGAAGTTTAAACAGGGGTAATGCAGAGATTTGAAAATATTTCCATAGAGATTTGAAAAGGTATTGCATCCATAAAATAAGACAAAGATGCTATTCAAAAGCCTACTCAAAAAACAAAATAGAACTCTTGAAAAACAAATACATGATTTCCAAAATTTGAACAGATCAATAATAGGTTGGAAGAAGATCTTTCAGAAAGTAGAAGATAGAAAATATGAAGAATAAAGAGATATAGAGATCAATCCAGACATTTTATTTATTTGTTTTTAAAGATTTTATTTATTTGAGAGAAAGGGCATGTAAGAGGAGGGTCAGAGGGAAAGGGAGAGGGATAAGCAGACTACACACTGAGCCCATTACTGGGCTCAGTCTCACCACTCTGGAGATCATGACATGATCCGAAACCAAGAGTCAGCCACTTTACTGACTGAGCCATCAAGCACCCCAATCCAGAAGTTTTAATATCTAACCTATATGACTTTATTCCAGAGAGAACAAAAATATGAAAAGCGAAATTATCAAAGAAACAATGTAAGGGCACCTGGGTGGCTCAGTGGGTTAAACCTCTGCCTTCGGCTCAGGTCATGATCTCAGGGTCCTGGGATCGAGGCCCACATCAGGGGTCTCTGCTCGGTGGGGAGCCTGCTTTCCTCTCTCTCTCTCTGCCTGCCTCTCTGCTTACTTGTGATTTCTCTGTCAAATAAATAAATAAAGTCTTAAAAAAAAAAAAAAGAAACAATATAAGACTATTTCCAGAGCTAAAGAATAAATTCTCCAGATTGAAAAATCTTTCATCAATGTTTAGCAAGTTGATATTTAAAAGAGCTGTAATAAGGCCAATGAAATATAGGTTTTATTTTTACTAGAACTAAAATTTTATTTTTTAAAAGAAATTAAGTAGACTATTCTGGGTGTAGAAAGAACATTTACAAAGAAATTATTTAAACTTTTTAAAATTTTAAGTTTTTATTTTAATTCTAGTTAACATAGTGTTATATTAGTTTCAGGTATAGGATATAGTGATTTAAAAATTCCATACAACACCTGTTGCTCATCACAACAAGTGCATTCCTTAGTCCCCATCGCCTATTACACACCTCCCCCTACTCTCTCCCCTCTGGTAACCATCACTATGTTCTCTAAGTCTGTTCCATATGTTCACTATGTTCTCTATGTTCTCTAAGTCTGTTTCTTAATTTGTCTCTCTCTCCTTTTTTCCCCTTTGCTCATTTGTTTTGTTTCTTAAAATCCACATATGAGTGAAGTCATACAGTATTTTTCTCTGACTGGTTTATTTCCCTTAGCATTATACTCTCTAGCTCCATCCATATCTTTGCAAATAGCAAGATTTCATTCTTTTTTTATGGCTGAATAATATCCCAGTGTGTGTGTGTGTGTGTGTGTGTGTGTGGCACAACCTCTTTATCCATTCATCAATCGATGGACACTTGGGCTGCTTCCCTATCTTGGCTATTGTAAATAATGCTGTTATAAATATAGAAGTACATCTATAGATGTATATCTATAGAGGTATATCCCTTTGCATTAGTGGGGATTTGGGAGGGCAGCAAAGCAAAGTTTATTGAGCAATGGTAAAGTGATAGTACAAAGCTCCCAAAGAGGGAGGGGACCCAAAAGGGTTGCCACCAAAGTTTCTAAGTCTAGGGACTTTTTATGGGTTTATTGGTGGGCTGTTTTAATCTGATTAACCCTCCCTCCGCCTATCATCCAATCACTTATTTGTCTATCATATGGGAAAGGTGGAGACTCTTTCCGTGTAAAATCCTTTTAAGGGTGGCTTCCTCTTAAGGCAGGGCCCCTTGTTCCTGCCTGCCTGTCTTCCAACTAGCCATCATTCTCCTATCTGAAGAGATAACCCTAACTGCTGTTAGGGAAGAAAGGCAATGACTGATCGCAGCTACTTCCTGCTGGTCAGGGGTGTTGGATGAGGTGGCAGCCAGGATTCCTCTTGTCCTGCTCTATCAAGGGGTCTCTTTGTAGATGTCTGGTTTGACCTCCGCGTGAGGCTCCATCTGAACCACCACCTGGAATTTGAGGACCTTTCTTGGTTAGTTGTCCTTAATGATGGTGGAGATCCCTGACAAGCCCCTATAAATGTTACAAGATTTTTTCTGTCAGTGCCCACGGTGCTTGTTCACGCCGCTTCAAAGAATGAAGAGATTAAAGCAAAACAAAACAAAACAAAAAAGAATGAAGAGGTACTTCAGACAGAGTGGTGGGCAGCAAAGCAAGGTTTATTGAACAACAACAAAGTGAGAATACGAAGTTCCCAAAGAGGGAGGGGACCCGAGGGGATTGCCCGTGTTTTTGTATTCTTTAAGTAAATACCCAGTAGTGTGATTTCTGGATCATAACATAAATCTATTTTTAGCTTTTTTGAGGAACCTCCATATAGTGGCTGCACCAGTTTGGATTCCCACCAACAGTGTAGGAGGGTTCCCCTCTTTCCACAACCTCTTCAACATTTGTTGTTTCTTGCTTTGTCAATTTTGGCCGTTCTAACTGGTGTAAGGTGGTATCTCAATGTGGTTTTGAATTTCCCTGATGGCTAATGATGATGAACATTTTTTCATGTGTCTGTTAGCCATTTGTATGTCTTCTTTTGAGAAGTGTCTGGTCATGTCTTCTGCCAATTTTTTGACTTGACTATTTGTTTTTTGGGTGTTGAGTTTGAGAAGCTCTTTTTTTTAAATTTTTTTTATTAACATTTAATGTATTATTAGCCCCAGGGGAACAGGTCTGTGAATCGCCAGCAAAGTTCTTTTATAGATCTTGGATATCAGCCCTTTGTCTGTAGTGTCATTTGCAAATACCTTCTCCCGTTCCCTGGGTTGCCTCTCTGTTTTGTTGACTGTTTCCTTTGGTGTGCAGAAGCTTTTTATCTTGATGAAGTCCCAAAAGTTCATTTTTGCTTTTGTTTCCCT